CTTACATACGAAAAAAATAAGTTCAACTCATATGTCTATTTTGGGACTTATCTTCAGCTTATTTACGATCCACATCTAATTAAAACCTAATGAATACCAGCATTTTAAAGCCAATGTTGCTAAATTGACAGAAAATTAAATGGGCAATTTGTGTAGAGGTGAGAAAATCATTAACAATGCGCTCGACATATATTTAGGACGCAAGAATTCGAAGGAGAGCCCAATTTATAATTGTTTTATTGACCTTCATTTAGTACCGAAGTCCAGCAGCGTTTCCTTGCCCAATTTTCAGGTAAATGCCCTACTTCAAAGAAAACAAAGGATCTTGTAGGTAAAATCATATTATTAAGTTAGTAGGGTCGTCCTTCATCACCTTAGACGAAATAGGGTGAATACATCTCATTACAAAATTATATTAATATGAGATGTGGTCTCTAAACTCTACTTACATAGGAAAAATAAATTAGTAAAGAGCGGAAACAACCCAAGAATTGCCTTGCATAACCTTTAAGCGAAAAGTAGTCTGACCTCGCTTTCACAACTTAGTCTTTTATTCAGATTATAAAGTCCATGATCCGGTGTTGGGAAAAGTGGTTTCATCTAGGTCACCTTGGGAACACAACTCGGTTGCGAAAACGAAATCAAACCGCCTTTATAAAACAAAAGAAGACCATCACATCATTTTGGTGCTCATACCATTAATTGCCATAAGAACCTGGATGAAAACCAGAATCATACTAGATCGTTTAAGGTGACGTAAGGACGAGTAGTTAAATTTTTAACAGTGAAATAAATAGGAGACTCCATTGGGCAAAGCTAAATTAAATCCTTCTACTCATTTCATAGTGAATTCTTCAGTTGTCAGTCCCTACATCACTCTGAGCGGCTGCAACCTGTATAATCAAGCTCTAATAGTCGGTATAAGAAAAAGAAAGACATTGTTTATGGATACGAGGGCGTATAAAAGTGTAGAATAAAAACTCGAACTGTACCTTACGGGCAATTGTGAAAAAATACGACGAACTAGAGCTTCAAGGTTATCAAGAGTGTCTGAAAAATAGGAAAAAACAAAAACCTATCAGAGCGCTCAACTCAAAAATATAAATAAATTTAAGAAAAGAAGCATGAATAAAGCCTTATAGAACGAGTGGCTATCTTGATAGCAATTTAAATTAACTCATATTATGCGAAATAATCATTCGAGTGAATGACAGTAAAGCTCTTTCAAAATGTGATGAATATCATCCTTGATTATTCTAGCATCATATGCCATTCTGACATTTTAATTCAACGAACCGTTAAAAGTGATTAGGCTAATGATAATCTATTCGTTAAAGCAAGTCACTAAGGTCTAAAGAAGGTATAAGGGGCTCACCCTTTGCTTGAGCAGCCAGAGTCATGCGATCAGCGGAGTAGTTGCGTCGACGGAGTTCATGCAATTTCTCGATCACATCAATGCCTTGACTTTTTGGTAACTCACTCAGCGACGTGAGATTGCCTTTAAAGAGGAATTTGTTAGGATAAAGTTAGAGGATTAAAGTTGAGGTTTACAATAAGAATGGTTAAGTTCTAATAGCAAATCTGACAATTTGAAAAATTACGAAAAATATGACCAGTTTTGGTTTCATACCTTTCATCCCATCCTTTTTCATAATGAAAACTGAATTGAATTCCGAAATTAACTCAAAAGATGAGGAAAGCGATGTCCAATGTATAGTAAAAAATGGATACAGAGATCATAAATGGTGGAACGCATTGCACAGACTAATAACGAGGTTAACTAGAAGGCAAGAAAAATAAGTGCCTTACATGAAAAAATATACAAGGAAGACTAAGGAAGCCATCAATATCCTTGCCAAGGGAAATTTGATGAAGATAATGGTAAAATTATCGATAACTTTGTATATTGCTCAAGCTAAATCGGAGTAAGTAGGGAAGCCGCAATATTAGCAAAAAAGAGAAGCCTAAATCAGAAACTAACGGGACAAAAAAGAATAAAAAATAAGACGTAGATGAGGGGCATTTGTAAATAAAGAGAAGATATTTGCGGTGGCAGACCAAGTAAATCAACTCGATGAAGCAACTATAATTTTTGTGGATCTTGTGCACAGTAGACTGAAGCCAGTTTAACAACAGATTTATTCGAGATGTAGGAGAAACTAGAGATATAGGCTTTCAGTTGACTTATAGTACATGTATTGAATCATAGTGATTGTCTGTGAAGACAATGCCAGGCCATGAGATTTATCCAGAACATGTGCCAAACTAAGATAAGGTAAAGCACAGTGCTTGCCTATAGCGCTTTGGAATCAAAATATAGAAACCAGGCTATGTGAAGCTCCAGCATACGCGAGATCAAACGCTTGTTATAAACAATAAGAAATAGTTTAATCGAACGTATGAA